GTGGATCGGGGTTTGGATGATTGTTTGGTTGCTCGATTCCAGATGATGGCAGTCTAAGGTTTGTCTGCAAAAAGAAGACAAGGAATGAATTTGAGGCACCGACTAGTGTGTTAAGAAAATTAAAAGAAAAATCATACCTAAATTTCTTCCATTGATCAAGGAAATAAGAAAAAGGAAATCATCTTGCTTTTTCTTAATTTATACATAGGGAAAAGTAAATTAACTTAGAAAAGGAAAATGTTTCCTAATTCTTGTGTAGCAAAGGATGATACTTGACTACATCATTTATTTTTAGTCTTATTGTGAGCAAGAAATTGTTTAGAGAGCATAAACGTTTTAGTTTAACAGAGAAAGAATTCATTATGCTTAATCAGAAACATGTGTTTAAAGGTTTTTTATTTTCCTAGTAAAAAATTAAGTCGGTATCCGGCTAAGGGAATGTCTTAGCAAAACATCATTGATTCTTGTAGAGCATAAATGTTTTATTATTATCGAAAGCAGAGATTTTTTAGTGAGTTTAAACGTTCTAGTTTAACAGAAAAAGAGTTCTTTGTGCTTAATAAAAAGCACGTGTTTTAAGGGTTTTTAAATTTTCCTAGTAAAATAGTCGGTATCCGAATAAGGAAATGTCTTAGCAAATGATGATTCTTGATTATATCATTGATTCTTGTAGAGTATAAATGTTTTATTATTGTCCAGAGCAAGAGATTTTTTAGGAGTATAAATGTTCTAGTTTAACAAAAAAAAGAGTTTATTATGTTTAATCGAAAGCATGTGAACAGAATTTAGTTGGAAACCAAATTTTTTTTTTTTTGTCAACAATCACCATGTATTAAATCAATTGCGACCGATTGGAAAGTTTTTCAGACGGATAATCCCAAACAGAAATGTCTGACTTCCATGGAAAAATACATAGCTTCGTACTCGAACTCCTTTTGCAAAAATACTTTAAAAAAGAAGGTATATAATTTTGATTTAAAATTGAAAAACTGTAGATTTGATCAATTAAAAAAACGGAAGAAGTAAATTATCTCTACGTTTATTCGCTTACAATAAATAATCTCTACGCTTAATCACTACATGCTACATTATTGTCAATGTGTTATAAATTTATCTATATAAATCTTATGTTTTGTTTCCTGCAAACAAAAAAACTTATTATACAAAAAGAACTTGTGTTTTGCTAAATGCTTTTGTATTATCATCATGGAGTAAATGGTAATTTTAAAAAAATGACCCAAAGATCATGTTAATTTAGTCACCTAAATTAATATGGTTAGTTCAATAGAAATTCGGAATTAAGTCTAATAATATGTGTGAGTTCTTGGAAAAAAAATGATTGAATGATTATTTGCACGCTTTTGGTCCAAATGTTAGGTAAATTAATTTTTTGAAATATCATTCATAGCAATTTGCAGAAGAGATTTACGCAAAAAAAATTTACAACTCTGCAATTCAAAAGAGATTCACAAAAGAATTTCGCAACTCTGCTAAAGAGATTCACAAAAGATAGCACTGATCTGCAATTAACTTCGTTGTCTTTGGAACCTTGAGGACCGAAGTCTTGAAAAATTTTTAAAAAAAGAACAACTACAATGCTATATAAGTCAATCATGTTATCAAAAGGGACTCGGTTTATATACTTAACAATCTGTCTCTACAGCATGTACGACTTCCATCTTCTGCATCATAACACTCTCTACATCCTCCTTAATAGAATCCAAGTAGCCCACAAAAATCGTGACGGTTATTTCTCCCTTGGATCCTCTGCTCCTTAGCCCGTGGACAATGCTATCACAATAGTCTTCGACAGTTAAACCTCTTGGATACCTCTGTTCTTATAGTCAATCCAGACCTCAGTCCGTGTGGTTTTTGTCTCTAGTAATGATCATGGCATTATGAGGGGCCTTACCCTTTTTA